TGGGGCAGTGCCTGTGGCTCAAAGGAGTAGGGTGCTGGCCCCATATGCCGGAGGTGGTGGGTTCAAACCCAGCCCTGGCCAAAAACTGCAGAAATAAATAAATAAATAAAGTTAAATACATTCTTAAAAAAAAAAAAAAAATGTGTTTCTTGGGCGGCACCTGTGGCTCAGTGGGTAGGGCACCGGCCCCATATACTGAGGGTGGTGGGTTCAAACCGGCACTGGCCAAACTGCAACAACAACAAAAAATAGCCAGGTGTTGTGGCAGGCACCTGTAGTCCCAGCTACTTGGGCAGCTGAAGCAAGAAAATCACCTAAGCCTAGGAGTTGGAGGTTGCTATGAGCTGTGATGCCACAGCACCCTACTGAAGGTGATAAAATGAGACTCTGCCTCTTAAAAAAAAAAAAAAAAAAAAAAGAATGTGTTTCTTTTGGCTTCGTGCCTGTAGCTCAAGTGGCTAAGGCACCAGCCACATACACTAGAGCTGGCAGGTTCGAATCCAGCCCCGGCCTGCCAAACAATGACAACTATAACTAAAAATAGCCAGGCGTTGTGGTGGGTACCTATAGTCTCAACTACTTGGGAGGCTGAGGCAAGAGTATTGCTTAAGCCCAAGAGTTTGAGGTTGCTGTGAACAATGCTGCCACGGCACTCTACCCAGGGTGACAGCTTGAGACTCTGTCTCCAAAAAAAGAATGTGTTTCTTTCAAATAAGAGGATATTTAGTAATCAAGTGTCCTTCATGGCCAAGGCATCTTAGAGCATTCCATCGTGTCCACATGCCTCAGGTGCCAAGCTCTGGTTAGGGACAAAGTCCCTGGACCCGCCCTGTTAGCACACCACTGTGGCTACAAGCAAGAAGTAACCCACAGGTTCAGCACTAGGACCAACCTTTCAGCACAGGGTTGTAAGTGAGTATCTGAGTCAAAGTGTGACTGAAAAACCTCTTCAGACAATCTGTAGACATTACGCCGCAAAACGTATGTCCATCAAACACGCTGACCCTGCAAACGTAGCAGAAAGATCCGTAAGAAAGGGATTTGAGCAAACTGCTACAGTTACACACATGGTAAGAACAAGCACCCTGGTACAGATGGATTGTGTCCTTGAAAAGTGGCTAAGCAAAGCCCTCATTGCCAATGCAAAGGTCTCTGGAGGTAGGGCAGTGAGCGGGACACAAGAGGGCAATGGGGCCCTCATAGTGAGGTCACCGCCCTCACAAGAAGGCACATCAGTGCTCAGTCCTCTCCACATGTGTGGACACAAGGAAAGGAGGTTTTCTGCAAGCCAGAACACAGCTTCCACTTAATCCAGCCACAGCAGTACCGACCTCTGACCTCCAGTTCCACATGTAAGAAAGTGGTTGCTGGCTGAGGCATGGTCTTCAGGGCTCAGGCAGTTGACCTAACTGCAGAATGGAGATTCAGAGACAGTGTAGTGTTTCATGCACTGCTTTAATAAAGGTACTGAATAGTACAATTTTTTTTTAGAGACAGAGTCTCATTTTATCGCCCTCAGTAGAGTGCTGTGGCATCACAGCTCACAGCAACCCCCAATTCCTGGACTCGGGCAGTTCTCTTGACTCAAACTCCCAGGTAGCTGGGACTACATGCGCCCACCACAATGCCTGGCTATTTTTTGTTGCAGTTTGGCTGGGGCCAGATTTTTTTTTGAGACAGAGCCTCAAGCTGTCACCCTGGGTAGAGTGGTACGGCATCACAGCTCACAGCAACATCCAACTCCTGGGCTCAAGCGAGTCTCCTGCCTCTGCCTCCCAAGTAGCTGGGGCTACAGGCGCCCGCCACAACGCCCGGCTATTTTTTGGTTGCAGCCATCATTGTTGTTTGGCAGGCCCAGGCAGGATTCAAACCCGCCAGCTCAGGTGTATGTGGCTGGCGCCTTAGCTGCTTGAGCCACAGGCGCCAAGCCGGGGGCCAGGTTTGAACCCATCACCCTTAGTATATAGGGCCAGCGCCCTACCCACTATGCCACCCAGTACAAATGTTTTAATGGAGCACTACTAAAGTGGTTGTGGGGATAGGAAATAAGGAACAAAATAGTTAAAGAATGAGAAGACTAGCCAGGTACAGTGGCTCACACCTGTGATCCCAGCACTCTAGGAAGCCAAAGTAGGAGGATCCCTTAAGCTCAGGAGTTTAAGACCAATCTGAGTGAGAGTTAGACCCCATCTCTACTAAAAATAGAAACATTAGCTGGACATTGTGGTGGGTGCCTGTAGTCCCAGCTACTTGGGGGGCAAAGGAAAGAGGAGGCTTGAGCCCAGGAGTTTGAGTTTGTTGTGAACTATGACACCATGGTACTCTAGCCAGGGTGACAGAGTGACACTCTGTCTCAAAAAAAAAAGAAAGAATGGAGATCTAAAAGGCTTAGAAATGGTGGAGAACTCTTCAGGTTCCTCAGGACTTGAATTCAAGGTTCCTTAAACTTAGTTTGAAGCAAGACCCAGTACCTACCTCTCCCAAGCCACATCTTCACCTGAGCCTGATACCTCTGCTCCCAACTTCACGCCCACAAACACATCTGTGTGCATCTCCACAGAGCCATGGAGAGACAATAGCGGCTCGGCGCCTGTGGCTCAAGCGGCTAAGGTGCCAGCCATGTACACCTGAGCTGGTGGGTTCGAATCCAGCCCGGGCCCACCAAACAACAATGACGGCTGCAACCAAAAAATAGATGGGCGTTGTGGCGGGCGCCTGTGGTCTCAGCTGCTTGGGAGGCGGAGGCAGGAGACTCGCTTGAGCCCAGGAGTTGGAGGTTGCTGTGAGCTGTGATACCATGGCACTCTACCCAGGGTGACAGCTTGAGGCTCTGTCT